TTCTTGCAGACCATCCATGCCATTGATAACATCTTACCTGTTAGTTTTGGACTTGACAGATGCTTCCAAGGGGACGGGTCTACCGTTATCCTCCTGGTAGGGGCCTGCCTGATGTTCCCATGCCTGGCGTTGCTGGAGGCATGTTTTCTGTTCCATATGACGTGGGTGGAATGCCGCTGCGTGATACCGGACTATCCCAGCAAATTCCTATTGGGGCTTTGGCTTCTGCCCTGGCAAATGCCCCTCCTGAACAGCAAAGGACGGTACGCATTTCTTCCATTCTAGCAAGCCAAGAGATCTTAATTATTGAGCTCTTTAGCCCTAGTTTCCCTTCCCAAATGTAAATCCAAATACAGTTAGTTGATTTGAAAATAAAAGGATAGTTAACTAGAGATATTATAAACGTAGCAAAAATATAATCAAATGGATCGTTATTGAAGCCTAGCAAAACAATTCAATTCAAAATAAATTCAGAGTTTGTATTTATCTTTAATCCCTAATTTACAAATATCTATGCTATTATTCTATTTCCACCCATTATTATTATTTTACCCTGTTCTATATCACATTGAATTTGTGATGAAGTTCTGAGAAACCCCAGCCTCCGACCCATATCTGATGGCTCTCTCTCGTTTTTTTTATTTTTTTATTTTTTGCAGATGTTGGGTGAGAATCTCTATCCTCTTGTGGAACAGTTGGAACCTGATAATGCCGCTAAAGTGACTGGCATGCTTCTGGAGATGGACCAGACTGAGGTTCTACACTTGCTCGAGTCACCAGAAGCTCTGAAAGCAAAGGTTGCCGAGGCAATGGATGTCCTTAGGAATGTTGCTCAGCAGCAGCAGGCTGGTGGTGCTGCTGATCAGCTGGCCTCACTATCACTTAGTGACAACCTTGTTTCTTGAGAGATATTTACATTTGGCCACAAACTCTTTGTCGATGTTGAATTGCTGTAGCAGAAGCAGGCTGTGATTCAGCTAAGATAGTTCTGAGTATTTTAGATCGGGTAGGTACTCTGCTTTTGGTCTGTCGGGGATTTTGGGTCTTAAGTCAAAGGATTGGTTCAAAGTTTGATTTAAATGGTGCTTTAAGTTTGGTACTGCAGTGTGTGATGTGCTAAGAATCAGGATTATGGATTGTTACTCTGATTGTCTCTCCCTTTTCTTGTTTTGGATTATTGCATGTTTTGTGATGCGATCGTTGATGATAACATTCATTAATAAAAACATGAAGAGTTAGTTATCTTCATGAACTGGACCTCGCGCCCAAACGGAAATTACTTTGAATATCTAAAGTGAATAATGAACAACGATAGGGGACCTGTTTTGTAATCAGTCATGTATTTAATGTTGAGGTTGAGTTTATTGTCCCCTGTGCTTGGGGTCATTGCACTTTGAGGTACTGATTTTTTCCTGTCAAGTTTATGGTATTGTTACAGTTTCTAATAATTCCCTGAAATTTTTCTCAGAAAATTAAATTTAATTTGCCTTTTAAAGTTTCCAGGCAAAGTTGTCTGGAATTTTATGTTAGTGTTTTGGGTATTAATTTACTCGTTGAATATGGATATCGGATAAAACAATGGTATTTTTTGGATTTTTACTGGCATTGTCTTCCACGATAAGTATTCTGTCCAAAACAAGTAATTTTTCCTTGTCTTTAGTATCGAATGGAAACCAGTGTAGAGCTAGTTAAATTTCTTTGCTCTTACATTAACCCAATCAAATATTTGCTATTAATGTTTCTATGCAAGTGCCTTGGCTTGAAAAAATGTGACCTGATATATGGTTAAAATGGGAAATGAATGTAGAATATCAATTGATACACATTCGTAAGTCTTTTGTGTACATATTTTGGAAGACATTTGTATCGCTTGGGGATTCATCTTCAAGTTTTTCCAGTTAAATCCGATAAAACGTTGTTGTATCTTGCAGTTTAATATGAATAAGAAGTTTGCAAAGGAAACGGGAAAAAGACCACTTTGACATGGTTTTTGACTTGAGCATGCTGTGCAGTGCTTTGCCATGTGCCTCTTTGGAGGATTTTTCTTTTGGGTGTTCGCTACTGTGTGTGGTGTACTGTATACAAACAATTCGATGGCCAATAAAGCTTCTGGTCGCATGTAATCAATCTAGTATTCGTCACTTGATTTCAAAGCCAAAAGAGGGGAGAATTTCATTTAAGAATCTGGATATCATCTTATTTTTTGGTGGGTCCTGAAAAATTTAAAAACCTCAATCCTCAAGGATTAAATTTAAAAAAAAAAAAGTTAAATGTGAAAAAGATTAAAATACCCTCAGTTTAAATATTAAAAAAAATCCCACCAGCTACTATTGCTAGAGTGCCATTGCCAATGATCGGAGCTTAGCTGGCAATGGCGGCTACTGGACCTCTGTCATTGAAGCTCCAGCCATCGGCTGGACCACCATCGGCAATGGCCGGAAAATTTTGGAGAGTTAATTTTTTCAAAGGTAGCCAAGGTGGGTGTAGAACTTAAGACCCCTTGGTTCACCAAAAAATTTTAAACCACCAAGCCATTCAATCTATTTAATTATATAATGCATAAAATTATATATATAATAAATCTTGTTCCCAAACCACTTGATTATTACATTATTTGTTAATTGCATAACTTTATTTTGTTAATACCTTAACATGACTTGTTAGTGATTTAACTTTTCTTGTTAACCCCACGACTCCTGTAACAGAACTAAATTACTTGTTAATATCTTAACAAGACTTGTCAATTACTTAACTTTTTTGGTTAAGTCCGTAACTCCCACAACAGAATTACATTACTTGTTAATCTCGTAATTGTAGTCGTTAATACTTTAACAGGACTTGTTAATTACTTGAAATTACTTGTGAAATTCATGACTCCTTCAATTAAACTGCATTACTTGTTAATCATGTAAATTTACTTTTTAATTACGCAACAATATTTGTTAATTGTATATCTTGACTTGTTAATACCATAACATAACTTATTTAACTGTTGTTTCAAAAAGCAACTAAATTACTTGTTAATTGTATAATTTTATTTGTTAATTCCTCAATAATACTTGTTAATTATCTATTGTCACTTGTTTAATAAATATATAATTTACATAAAAATTGAGTTTGTTATATAACGAAAACAATGACAGTCGGGTCTCCCTTATTAGTATTCATCAAACTATATACTCAATTATATAAGTGTGTGTATATATATATATATAGATATAGAGAGAGAGAGAGAGAGAGCAGTACCCTAAAAAATAAATATAATATTAATAATTAAAATTGAAGAAATGACAAGCTATATTAGACTTTTAACAAGTATACTTTTTGTCATAATACTCAAGGCGGTTTAAAATAAGATTTATTATATAAATAATTTTGAGGGAGTTACAAAATTAATAAGTAAAGTTGCATTATTAACAAGTAAGCTATGCAATTAACAAGTATTGTTGCGTAATTAACAAGTAAAGTTACATGATTAACAAATAATGCAGTTCAGTTGAAGGAGTTATGATTTGACAAATAAATTTAAGTAATTAACAAGTCCTGTTAAGATATTAATAATTACAGTTACACGATCAACAAATAATATAGCGCTGTTGTGAGAGTCACAGACTTAACAAAGAGAGTTAAGTAATTGACAAGTCTTGTTAAGGTATTAATAAGTATAGTTACGTGATTAACAAGTAATTTAGTTCTGTTGCAGAAGTCGTAGGGCTAACGAGAAAAGTTAAGTAACTAACAAATCCTGTTAAAGTATTAACAAGTAAAGTCACGCAATTAACAAATAACGTAATAATCAAGTGATTTAAAAATAAGATTTATTATATATATAATTTTATGCATTATATAATTGAATGGAATAAGTGGTTTGGTGGTTCAAAATTTTTTAGTGAACTAAAGGTCTTGGGATTTATACCCACCTTGGCCACTTTTAGAGAAATTAATTCTCCAACCACCGCTGACGATGGTCCAGTTGGCGCTTGGAGCTTCGATGATGGAGGCTCAATGGCTGCGGTCACTGGTGAGGCTTCGGTCACCGGTAGTGGTGCTTCAATGACGGTGGTTGGTAATTTTTTTTTAATATTTGAATTGAGGGTATTTTAATTTTTTTATATTTAATTTATTTTTAATTTGATCCTTAAAGATTGAATTGAGGTTTTGAAATTTTTTAAAAGTCATCAAAAGATAAGTTGCTATCAAATTCTTAAATGAAATTTTCCCCAAAAAAGAATGTTGGTTGGAAAACAAAAGTCAAAAGAACCGATCTCATTATGAAATTCTCCACTTTTATAAAGCTGATTCAAGCAAGGCGATGTCGGGCCATTTTTGCCGCTGTAACTTTATCTTCCACAATCATATTGCTAAGCAAACGTTAGATAGTCTCCATCAACTTTCGGTTTATACATGTCCACGCGCATTTTGATGACATAATTATGTTGAGGACACTTTGTCCTGCGAAGGTTATACGTGTAGCATTCTTCTTGTTCTTGGTACATAAACTCAGATATTCTAAGAATGAATTTCCACGCGAAGATTATAGCTCAGGGACGGGTTTAATCTTAACTAGACAAAGTTACAAACCCAACAAATGAGACTTACAGCAAAGAAATTTTTTCATGCTCTGGGAAAGGCGATTTTGTCCCACTCAAGAAGCAAATTCTTTAGAAACTTGGGGGCGGGAATTTATCTGTTGCAATAACCAATAAGCCTTTATATAAAAAAAAAATTGTTAAAGCATGTGTGTTAATAGATTCCGACACCCCGAAGAAAATAGTCATTGTCATTTCGATGTATTTTCAACGTCTCCTGTTTCGGCGTATTCACGTATATGTGCTTAAGGAATGTTAATTTGACAGCCAAACATTCTTTGTGAGTTGTTTGTGGGGCTCTTTTTTCCTCTCTTTGGGTCACTTTTGACTCTGTTCCCATATTTGTGCACTTGTACCTTTGATTACTGTTACTTCCCTTTCACTCTATCATTATCCAACTCTTCCATGGCAAAATAATAATGCATACCCACACCATGATTTTATGTGTCTGATGGAGGGTAAAGGCATCCTATGATAGTAACAGGCCTGCCATTTCCTACCTCAAAGCACAGCCTTGAACCTCTTCATTGACACTTTGATTCCAACCTTTTGCCCTGGTACGAATTCTCTCTTGGTATGATTTTTTCATTTTTATTTTCACGCGGTGGGTTTTCTTCCCTTTCTTGCCAATTCCCAGCCTACAGTTGTTCATTATAGGACGAATTTTTCATCTTTGAGCATGTTTTTCTTACTTCTGATATTGTCACTTTTGATTTTCATTCAACCTGCAAAACACTGTTGAACTGGCACTAGTAGTATTGCTTCAAAGCACATAGCCATGTTCTGGTCCTCAATATGTACATAGTTTGCATCAGCTTGTTCGGTTCTCAATCATGTTTTTTTAATTTTTTTTTTAAATAAAATCTGTCTCCACAATTCAGAGTTTCGCATTGTCAAGAGTCTTCGTCACTTGGTTCGGGTACATTAGCATGAAATATTCTCCTTTTTTGTTTCTTGGACAGGACCTGAATCCTGAAACATGAATTACAAACCATGGCAATGGAGGAAAAGATCCTCGGAGAAGACAATATTTGGAATGGACAAAGCTGTCAGTCCTTCCAGAACAACCAAAGAAGAGGCATTTTAAACTTTTTCATATACATGCTGCTATTTAGTTTCCTCATTTTATGATTTGTCTTCCTTTTTTTCTTCTTCTGAATGTCTGCTACCAACAAAGCTCGAGTCGTGTCCTCTTTCTAAATGATGCACTGCACTTCACAAAGAGGGATAAAATCTGATTTATTTACCAACAAAATTTCATTTTCCAGGAACATAAACTTCCAACTCATGAAGAAGCTGGACTGGAAAAATCCTCAAAGAGTCTTAATGAGAAGTTGGCTTCAATTCTCCTTGATTGCCATGATGGAGACAACCCTCCAACAAAGCATTCACAGAAGTCTCAAGAAGGAATTCCCGGTAATTTGATAGCCTTTCTGCGTATGCTTATATCTTTCTTCTCAACATTCAATTTGGTTCTGGCTGTTCCTCTATTTCTACAATAACTAGGCAAGGATAATGAAAAACAAGTGGAGTCCTTTAAGAGGGAAGAAGATGAAGATTTACCTAAGGAAGTATCAGATGAAAAGGTAACTCATACTGATGAAACAATGCAAGTCTCTTCTGGTGCTGTTCCAAACTTATATGAAGATCGTGACAAGATTCAGGAAGGACTGGAAGTTAAGCTGAGGGAAACTAGTAAAAGGCTAGATGATTTAACTACTGAGAACACTTGTCTAACTAGTGCCCTATTATCCAAAGACAGATCTATTGGGGAGCTTCTGAAAAGTAAACATCAAGTGGATGGAGAATTCAGTACTATAATGACAAGATTGGATTCCATGGAGAAGGAAAATGCTTTCCTGAGATATGAGTTTCACATGCTTGAGAAGGAATTGGAGATTAAAAAAGAGGAGATGGAATATAGTCGTCGGTATGCGGATGCATCGCATATACAATATCTGGAGAGTGAACAGAAAGCATCCAAGTTAGACGTTGAGTGCCAGAGACTTCGGCTTTTGCTGCAGAAAAAGCTACCTAGTACTTCGGGGTTGGTGAGAAGAGAGACAGATATGACTAGAAGGAAGCCAAGTTCTGCAATAGGAAACTATGTTGAAGCATCTGAAATGAGTATTGGCTTGATGATCAAACGCTTACAGGATCTGGATGAGGAAAACAAGGTTCTCAAAAGAATTTTAACTGACAAAATCACTGAACAAGATTCTTCGAGGTTTATGTATGCTCAGATAGCTTCCAGATTATCACAGGCGGAAATTCTTCTGAGAAAGCACTTTGAGGAACATAAGTCCATGGAGGTCGCCATGTGTCATCCCACATCAGATGAACTTTCATCACTAGCAAAGTCCAACACTGCTCGTCATGACAGGGTTAGCCCTTCAGGATCCTGGGAACATGCTCTTATTTCAGAACTGAAACATTTAAGAACTGAATATGTTAGAGACCAAAAGGACGATAAAGACGTTGAAGGTCCTGATTCAAATTTGCCAGACGATCATGTTGAGATGGAGAAGCGGGCTATAGTTTCTATTGATACACCTGATGAAGGACAATGCTCTGATACAACTGGCAGGGAACTAGTGCCAGTTGAACAAGATCTGCACTTCAGTGACGGCAAACCGGACACTCAATTCAAATATGCAACGTTTGAAGAGTCTTTTGATTGGCTTCAGATTGTTTTAAATGCAATTTTGGAGCAGGAGCGATTGTCAAAACGAAGTCTTGATGAACTCTTTGAGGACTTAAAAATTGCTTTGGGTAGGATAAAGCACCCAACAGCCTGCAAATCTAAGTCTGTTGATGCTAATAGTTTAAGTGGTGCTGCAGAAGGGGTAAACAATCCACATTTCAATGCTAATTTGAGCAAGTCAATTCATAGAATTATCAAGTTGATTGAAAGAATTGCTATCAAGTCACAAATCTATAGCAGTTATCCTGATGATATCTTGGAGAAGAATCAGCATTCTAAGAGATCTCAATCGCCATCATCCAAAGAATACTTTGTTCATGTTTTTAAATGGAAGATTGTGGACTTGAATCCTCTTCTGCATCAATTTGTTCAAACCTGTAAAGACTTGTTAACCGGAAGAGCTGATTTTGAAAAATTTGCTGGAGAAGTGGCGTTTGCTCTGGACTGGAGTATAAATAATTGTAGCACTCCTACAGATGCTTCAGTTGCCAGAGAAAAGAAATCACAAAATGAAGAGTCTCTTTGCTCCCGTTCTGTTTCATATGCTTCTCCAGATGACCAAAGTAATAAGTCCGATCACATAGAAGAAAACAAAAAATTGAATGATGAGCAGAAAACTAAAGAATCTGTAAAGAAAAACTTGGAAGCAATGTTGCTGTCAGTCGCGAAGGAAAATAGGGATTTGACTCAACAACTTCAGGATGCGAAAAGTAGCATTGAAGTTTTACAGTCAGAACTGGAGGCAATGAAAAAATCCAAGGGAATTGTTGAAGAACAGTTTGAAAAACAAAAGTTGATGAATGAAGATCTTGATAGACAGCTTACAATAGCCCGTACTAAGTTAAATGACATCTTTCAAAAGTTCTCATCCTTGGAAGTTGAATTGGAAGGTAAAAATATCTCATGCGAAGAATTGGAGGCAACTTGTTTGGAGCTTCAACTACAACTGGAAAGGTTATCTTCATCCTTTGTGTTATTTTGATGTTTTATCTTATCTACTTTTCCTTTCTCTGCAAAATACCAATTCTGATTTTGCAAACATTCAAATGCAACAGTATTGTAAAGAAGGAATCTCCAACACCTGGCAGGGATGAAATGGAAAAGATATATCGAACAGTAAGTAGTTCACTTCCTGTTGAATAGAATGGATAAATCTCCATTATTTAGGTTATGCTTTCATACTTTGAATCAATGTCATAAACTTTGAAAAATAGAAATTCTTGTTCTGTATGTTCTGATGGGGCCTATAATTTGTTTGGCAATGACAACTTCAGATGAAATGACATTCATTTTTTCAAGCCCATACACATTGTAGGCTCCAAGAACTACACAAAAAGATAAATGCAATTTTCTTAAAAATTTCCACGGTTGCTTTTTCAAGATGAAGCAATAACTATTGGTACTTGACAAATCCCAAATTCAACTTGGGATGATATTTCAGGGATGGGAGATTACAACGGCATCATCAAAGCTAGCAGATTGTCAAGGAACCATTGTAAACCTGGGAAAACAACTACAGGCGCTTGCCTTATCCAGTGAAGCTTCACTTTTTGAAAGAATTATGGCCATTAATCCAACCCAACAGAAGAAATTGATCAGGCGATCATCTCTACGCAGTCAAATGCAAGCCGAGGATGAAACTAAAGCAGGGATCCTCATGGCCCCTCAGATGGAAGAAAACAAAACTAGCAAAGATGTTAAGAAGTCACCTATTTTTGATCACTCAGGCAATAGTAGTTTTCTGGGAGGTATTAATGTCAAGGTTGGGGAACCCAAAAAAGACCTTACTTCAGAGCAAGATGACAGAAACGCTACTAAAGGTGCCAAGGCAATTGTAAAGTCTAAAAAGCAGGGTGCGTTTGATTTTCTGAGGAAACTGCTGCTAAGAAAGATGAAAGTTACGAAGGGAAAAGGAAATAGAACCTGACCCAAGAATTGTCTTGGTATTATTATGATGATTATTGCATGCTTTTACTGTCCTTGGGTGGCCTTTTTTTATGATTGGAGATGGTTGAAGATTTTATTCTTGAAATTTTTCATTTTACGTTGTAAATATATATTTCTGGTGTACAAAAATGTTGCTGATTGTTTTGATACATTGAGCGAGTGTAAATGGTGAAAAGCTGCGGATATATGGAGGCGAGTTTTGTTATCGTTGTGCACTCAAAAATATTTGATCAACGTACTCGTAAGAATCATAACCTGACTTGATGTTCAGGCAAGAAAAAAAAAACATTCTCTTCTATTTTGGGACATTGCTTAAAAAATTAAAAGCAATTCAATAGTTTCAAGGAATGTTTAGTGCGCCGAATAAGCCCAACTTAATAATGCTTCGCTTCATGCATACATTAGAACCTGATGTTATTTACCCAAATCCCACCAACTCTTTTTCCAGGTCTCAAGTAATTTATAAGGCATTCACATCCAGCTCCTCTTACTTTTTCAGGTTAAATAAACAATAATAATACATTTGTTTTAATTTTTAAATGTTGACAAGACTTGTGTGAGTCTTGAAACATTTCAAAAAACAGTAATGTTTATAAAATTATAGATAACATATTCCTAACCACGAGGGGCATTGAGGCAGGCTACAGTCTTTTAAAACCCTCAACTTTTGTTGGTTCCAGTAGCAGTATAAGCTACTCCTCTTTGGCAGCACGTTGCTCCTCTGAGGCAAGCTACCCCTCTTTGGCAGCACATTGCTCTTCTGAGGCAATCCTCTCGAAATTGGTGGTTTCTGAGCGTGCTTGAGGGGATCGCAGACCTAAGCACTTGAAAAATGGCCCAACCGCAGCAGCAGCCAATTGAGCAAGTTCAGTGCTTCGGCCGCAAGAAGTCCGTCGTCGCCGTCACTAACTGCAAACGCGGTCGTGGACTCATCAAGATCAATGGCTGCCCCATGGAACTCGTGCAGCCGGAGATCCTCCGATTCAAGGCTTTCGAACCTATCCTCCTCTTGGCAAACACAGTTTTGCCAGCATTAACATGCGGATCCGCATAAAAGGCAGTGGTCACACCTCTTAGATATATGCAATTCGCCAAAGCATAGCCAAGTTTCAGGTCCTATATCGAAGAGACTTGAAGAAGGTCCTAACTATATAAGTGGGTGCACTACACATCTTAATGAGTTAACCTTGTGGGAAGAGAGTAATGGCCCCATCACAAAGTTATATCAGAGCCAGACTTAAGTTTGCTCAGTCAATAAGCCCCTCTAGCGGTCACCTGTGACAAGAACATCCTAGATTGATCGAGGAAGCTATCAGGTCTCACATCAAAGAGAGTTATGGAGGATTTTGACTATATAAGTAGGTGCGCTACATGTCCTAACGGGTTATTCTTTTAAGGAGAAAGTAATGGCCCAATGACATAAGGCTCTTGTCACTTTCTACCAAAAATACGTCGATGAACATAGCAAGAAGGAGATCAAGAACATTCTGGTCACTTATGATTGCACACTCCTCATCGTTGATCCTAGGTGTTGCGAGCCTAAGAAGTTCGATGGTCGTGGCGCTCATGCTAAGTTCTAGAAATCAAACCGTTGATTTATTCATTTATTTTTTCAAAAATCAAGGGCAAAATGTGTTCATGTTGATTTAATAATTTATTTTTGTTTTCGGTTGTTAGTTTTATGTTGCGGACAACTTTTGGCTTTATAATTTTTGGCATTTCACTCGTGGCTTATTGAGATACTTTTTACAAGTCAAACTTGTCATTAATTTAGAAGATTTAAGGTTAGAGCCCTATTTGATTATGCTTATCCATGTGAAAATGGTCACATGACCTTATTGAGATGCTTTTCGTGAGTGAGTTTTAGGAAAAATAACAATTAAGGACTCTGTAAAAATATTAATCTTAATTAAAGATCATAAATTTTAAAATTTTAGTTAAGGATCATGGTCCCTAATTAAAATAAAAAAATATAGTTTTTCTTAATTGCCCTTGAAATTCACTAATATGAGGTGGGATTCACTACGTCACTTGAGGATTCATTAACCTAACTTGAGAAAATTGTTAACGTATATTATAAAAATATGAAACCTCATTTGGGAATTGATTGTTTAACAAAAAGCTCTACTTGAGAATTTACTAACCCAACTTGAAAAATTTTTTAACACATATTATGAAAACATGAAACTTCAATTGAAAATCGATTGTTTAACAAAAAGTTCTACTTAAAAATTTACTAATCAGACTTAAAAAAATTTTTAACGTATATTGTGAAAAAATAAAACCCCATTTAAAAATTCAATGTTTAACAAAAAGTGAATTGTCCAAATTGGGATTCACTAACGTGAGGTGAAATTTATTAATGCTACTTGGGAATTCACTAACCCAACGTGAAAAAATTACTAATGTACATTGTGAAAACAACATAATTGAGATTTCAACATAATTAGGGTTTTTTTCGTCAGAGGAATTTAAGAAAAACTACATTTTTATCCCATGGTCCTAATTGGAATTTCAAAATTTTATGATCCTGTAATTAGGTTTAATGTCCTTAAAGGGTCCTTAATTATCATTTTCCCTGAGTTTTACCTATAAATTATTTGTTTTCTCCTTGATTAACTTGAAAATAGTACTCTTCTCTAATGAACTGATATGCAATCTGGCACATGATGTGCCACTGTGTCAGCATGTGGTAAAGCTCTCAATGACAATGACATATATAGCTTCATTAACTTTGTATGAATTATATCAAAGAGGGAATTGGGTTGTCAACTGTGGTGTAATGGCTTGTGTTAGTAATTAGCATGAATAAGCTAATATTACTAAAAATATGCATAAAAAAGGTAAAATGCATGGTTCAGGTCTAAGTTAGGTTTCAAGGGGCTGAAACCCAACCCAACATCATGTTACTTCCTCTTCCTGATTAGATAAGAACATTGAAGGGGCCCTTCAAATTGAGGGATTTTGAAGGGGGGGTGCATTACTACATTTTAACTATATCAACATTCCTTTACTCTCAACATGAAGTTTGTCCTTCAAAACAATCTTAAGATATTCAAGAAGAAAAAACAGAGCATTCTAATGCCTCAATTGAACAAATTTCTAAAAGTGCAAAACAAAGAGAGGTGACTAATCTAGACCAATAAACAGTGGTTCAAAAGTCAAGGCATTAAAGAAGAGAAAAGAACAAAGGACCTAAAACTTCTCATCGAGACCCCTTAGGTTCATGATTTGGAGTCCTTGCTGATGATAGTAAGATTCAGGGAGAATATGATGATAGCATACTACTTCTCGTGCAAGAATTATGTACAGAAAAGGAGGGATCACTAACTAGGGCTAGATAGAAGAAGAATAAAAAAGGGGGCATTACCAATATTTAAGAGGATATCGACTAGGATAAAACTACAGACCATAAGCTAGATAGAAAAAGAATAAAAAAGGGGGCATTACCAATATTTAAGAGGATATTGACTAGGATAAAACTACAAACCATAATGCTGTTGTGCTAACAGAGGGGCAAAAACAACAGGAAAGTATGAAACAACAGGTGCATCAATTCATACAGATGAAAATGGCTCAACAAGTGCATAACGTGGGAAGATAGTAATCCTAACAATGGATCCCATTATGAGGTTATAGGGGCCCAAGACCATGCAATCCCATATTTCACCTCTAGCAACCCTTTACCTAGAAACATAAATGATATAAGAATTGAAGAAGTGGACCCAAGAGAGAGTAGTAATTTTAGGCTACTTGATAGCCTAATGATTGATAGACTTATTATGAGAACTCAACTTGAGAAAAATGTGGTAACTAAAATATAGTTTTTGGCTTAACAATGATGTTCTAGATCTATGTATCTAATATTCAATATCAATTATAATGATTAATATTATCTATTGGAATATTCATGGGGCCTATAGAAAGGGTCTCATTAAAAATCTAAAGGCTGTGATTAATAAGCCTAAGCCCATTATTCTTGTGCTAGTAGAGACTAAATGCCAAGAAGAGTCTTAACTTTGCTATCTTCATTCTCTTGGCTTTGATTTCACGAAAATGATTCCCAATATTAGTCAATTTGGTGGCATCATTGTAGCTTGGCAAAGCCAACTTGTTTCTATTAAAATTCTTCAAGAAGATAACTAATTTATACATATGAGATGTAGCTCGACTAGGCATCAGGATCTCTTCTGCATAATAGTTCATGCCCTTCCTCACTCTAATTTTAAAGGCGTATTGTAGGCAAAACTAAGCAATCTTGCCCTTATCATCACTGATATGTGGATGGTGTGTGGCTATTTTAATGATATTTTGTCTACAAGTGAAAGTGTTAGAGGTGCTGGAGGTAATTATAATTGATTTTATTAGTTTCAGTAGCGAAAGAGGATTGCAATTTGATTGATGTGGGTTCATTTAGCCCTAAATTTACTTGGAAGGATCTTTGTACCCCCAAATTCTCCTAATTATATGAAAGATTGGATCGAGCATTAGTGAATAGCTCATCTGTACTCCTTTCCCAATTTGACAATTCAGGTGCTAGTAAGAACTAATTACTCTGATCATAATCCTATTTTGACTAAGTTAAACGGTGATGGGTGCTTGCATTTGGGATTGAAACCTTTTAGATTTGAAGTGATGTGGCTTGGTCATGATAATTTTTAAACTTTTCTCAAGGATAATTAGAATGGAGAATCTGATTTGAATTTGAAACTTCTTGAATTTAAAGATTCAATACTGAATTGGAATAAAGAAGTTTTTATTTATGTGGAATGCAAGAAGAATGAGTTGTTGGCTTGCTTAAAAGGAATCTAAAAATCTAAAGCATGTTCTCATTATACCTTTCTAATAAACCTAGAAAGGAATTTATAGAAATTACTGGATGAATTGTTAAAACTTAAGGAGAACAAATGGTTTCAAAAGACAAGAACAGAGTGGATTAAGAATGGTGATAGAAACACACGCTATTATTATCTTAAGATGACAATAAGGAGAAGGAGGAACAAGGTTTTGACTATGAAGGATGATAGTGGTGGATGGATTTAGGATGAAGAAGCACTGAGGCTATAGGTTACTAATTATTTCAAGATAATATTTCAAGAAGAGGAACATGATGCTGAGATGTTACTTATGAACACATCCTTTCCTAGACTAGAATAAGGAGGACTTAAAGGACTTACGTATTGCCAATGGAGGAAGAGATTAAAA